GCAGGGCCACGCCCAGCAGTTGCACTGGCGTACTTTGCATTACTGGTAACATGTCAAGCGTTGCCGAGATTGAACTACCTGTGCGGTTGCTTGGACAATTTGCTTGGTGAATGGCCCAACCATGTGCAGATGTCGGTGCCGCGATTTTGAATATTGTCTTCGGTGAAGCTTCCCATGAGGCCGCGAAGCGCTGTGCTGGGTGGGGGGCGCGCGTGCGGGCGGTGGCGCTGGGGCCGTCGGTGGGGCTCCGTATGGAGCACGGAGCCGCTGTGCCGGGTGGGTGAAAAATCCCAAAGTGGGTGTGTGGGACGCATGCGGGCGGTCCTACTGGGGGCTTCGGTGGAGCTCCCTGTGGGGCCACGAAGCGCTGTACTGGGTGGGTGGAAATTCCAAATTGGTTGTGTGGGACGCGTGCGGGCGGTCCCACTGGGGGCTTCGGTGGAGCTCCCTATGGGACCGCGAAGCGCTGTACTGGGTTGGCGAAAACGCCAAATTGGGTTTCAGGGACGCATGCGGGCGGTCCCACTGGGGGCTTCGGTGGAGCTCCCTATGGGGCCGCGAAGCGCTGTACTGGGTTGGTGAAAACGCCAAATTGGGTTTCCGGGACGCACGCGGGCGGTCCCACTGGGGATTTCGGTGGAGTTCTCTATGGGGCCACGAAGCGCTGTATTGGGTGGGCGAAAATGCCAAATTGTGTGTGTGTGTGGTGTGTGTGTGTGTGGTGTGTGTGTGTGTGTGTGTGGTGTGTGTATGTGTGTGTGTGTGTGGGGGGGGGGGACGCACGCGGGCGGTCCCACTGGGGGCTTCGGTGGCGCTCCCCATGGGGCCACGAAGTGCTGTATTGGGTGGGTGAAATGCCAAATTGGGTGTACGGGGCGCATGCGGACAGTCCCACTGGGGCCGTCGGTGGGGCCCCCTATGGGGCCCCAAAGCATTATAATAAGTGGATGAAACGCAGGGAGGGGGGAGGAGGGGGCCACGAAACGCTGTACTGGGGGGGACGCATGCGGACGGTAGCAGTGGGTCCTTCGGTGGGGCTCCTTACGGGGCCACGAAGCGTGCGAGGGGCGTGCTGAAACGAGTGATGCTGATGATGCTGCTGATGATGATGATGATGAGGATGATGATGATGATGATGATGATGATGATGATGGTGGTGCTGATGATGATAATGATAATATTAATGATGGTGGTGATGGAGGAGGGAGGAGGGGGAGGAGAAGGAGGGGGAGGAGGAGGAGGACGCGGGGACCGTTTTCAAAACGAGGGCCCAACACCACAGGATGGTTGGGAAAAACAAATTTCACGGACGTGAGTCATGCATGTTCGAATGTATTGTGTCCTCTGTTTTCCGGAAGCGCTGATTCGGCGCGCGACGAAAATGTTCGACAGCGTGTTCCCCCGGTGTGTAAGAGCCGCTAGGAGGACATTCTTAGAACCAGAGTGAGCTGATAACGAGGAGGAGTAAGTCTGCTCACGAATCGAACTTTAGCGCCTTCTGTAAGCTCCATATTTTTGCGAATTGTGAGTCGAACGGATAATGTGGTGTCCATTGTTGAGACCGTCAACCGTTATCGCGTTTCTGGAACCACCTATGCGGTTGAAGGTTGCCTCAGAGCTTGGCCAAATTATCGGACCACGTGTTCCCCGAACCCGTTGGGGAACCTTTCGGGGAACACATGGAAGAGGAGGGGGATGAGGAGAGGAGGGTGAAAGAAGAAAAGGGGATGTCTCTTGGGCCATCTTGGGGCCCGCTTGGGGCTCGCTTGGGGACCTCTTGAACCGTTCTGGGGCCATTTTGGAGCCCCTGGGACGATTTTGGTGACTCCTTGGGCCGTCTTGGGCGGTCGAAGCAACAAAACGCAGGAAAAGCCAAGATCCTTAAACCGCTGAAAAATATTAGGATTTTCGCTCCCTCAGGCCTTCCTGGAGGACCTCTTGGGCTCCTCTGCGGCCAGTTTGGAAGCCTCTCGGGCCCATCTTGGGCCAGCTTGCCCGCTTAGCGGCCATCTTGGCCGTCTTGGAGGTCAGCTTGGCCGTCTTGGAGGCATCTTGGAGGCCATCTTAGCCGTCTTGGAGGCCATCTTGGGCGTCTTGGAGGCTTGGGCCGTGTTGGGGGCCTCGTGGAGTCGTCTTGGAGGCCTCTTGGGCCGTCATGGGGCCATCTTGGAGCCCTCTTCGGCGATCTTGGGGCGATCTTGTGGACCTATTGGGCCGTCTTGGGCTGTCGGAAGGCCTACAAGAAGCAAATGCCAAAATCTGTCAAAAACTGTTTGGAAATCAGTGGTATTGGCCTCTGCGGGCTCTCGTGGAGGACCTCTTGGAGGCCTCGTGTGCCGTCCATGAGGCATCTTGGACCCTCTTGGGTCTTCTTGGAAGCCATCTTGGACTTGGACCATCTTAGGCGGACTTGGAAGCCATCTTGGGCCATCATGCCCGTCTTGGAGGCATCTTGGAGTCCATTTGAGACCATCTTGGGCATGAAAGGCATTGACATGTGCAGTTTGGGGTCTCTTCGGGTGGGCCGGCGGGACGGGCCGAACCCCCACTGAGTTCTTCAAAAAATCCAAAAGAAATAAGAAATCCTGGCGAAGGACCCAACCATGAAGCTCCCTATGGGGCAACGAAGCGCTGCACTGGGTGGGGGGAACGCTGTACTGAGTGGGTGGTGTGCCAAAGTGGGCTTCCGGGACGCATGCGGACGGTCCCACTGGGCGTTTCGACGCGGGCCACGACGCGCTGTAATGGGTGTGTGAAAATGCCACATCGGGTTTCGGGGACGCATGCGGACGGTGGCACTGGAGCTCCCTATGGGGCCACGAAACGCTTTATTGGGTGGGAGGAAATGCCAAATTAAGTTTCCAGGACGCACGCGGACGGTCCCACTGGGCGCTTCGGTGGAGCTCCCTATGGAGCCACGAAGCGCTGTACTGGGTGAGTGAAAGTGCCAAATTGGGTGTTTCGGAACGCTTGCGGATAGTTCCACTGGGGCCGTCGGTGGGGCTCCCTACGGGGCCAACGAACGCTGTACTGGGTGGATAAAAGTGCCACATTGTGTTTTCGGGACGCATGCGGACGGCGGCACTGGGGCCTTCGGTGGAGCTCCCTGTGGGGCCACGAGACGCTGTACTGGGTGGACGAACGTACCAAATTAGGTGTTTCGGGACGCATGCGGACGGTCCCACTGATGGTTTCGGTGGTTCTTCCTGTTGGGCCACGAAACGCTGTAATGGGTATGCGGGACACATGCAGGCGGCAGCACTGGGACCTTCGGTGGGGCTCCCTATGGGGCCACGAAACATTGTACTGGGTGGGTGAAACGCAGGGAGGAGGGGGAGGAGGACCACGAAACGCTGTAGTGGGTGTGCGGGACGCATACGGGCGGCAGCACTGGGACCTTCGGTGGGGCTCCCAGGACGCATACGGGCGGCAGACTGGGACCTTCGGTGGGGCTCTCTATGGGGCCAGGAAGCGCTGTACTGGGTGTGCGGGGCGCATGCGGACGGTAGCACTGGGACCTTCGGCGGGGCTCCTTATGGGGCCACGAAACGCTTTACTGGGTGGGAGGAAATGCCAAATCAAGTTTCCGGGACGCACGCGGACGGTCCCACTGGGCGCTTCGGTGGAGCTCCCTATGGAGCCACGAAGCGCTGTACTGGGTGTGCGGGACGCATGCGGACGGTAGCACTGGGACCTTCGGCGGGGCTCCCTATGGGGCCACGAAACGCTGTACTGGGTGGGTGAAACGCAAGGGAAAGGGGGAGGAGGGCCACGAAACGCTGTACTGGGTGTGCGGGACGCATGCGGCCGCCAGCACTGAGTCTTTCGGTGGGGCTCCCTACGGGGCCACGAAACATTGTATTGGGTGGGTGAAACGCAGGGAGGAGGGGGAGGAGGGAGGAGGGAGGAGGGGAGGAGGAGGAGGAAGGAGGACGCGGGGCGCTGTCTCTTCAAAACGAGGACCGAACACCACAGGATGGTTGGGAACAAAACCGTCTAGGATCTAGCACGCCAGGCACCCCTCTGATAAATCAACAGGGGGCGGCGGATTTTACTTGCCTTCGCCCCATCCTTCCACTCTGCCTGGGTTGTGGGTCCGAGGCCTCTTGTCTATGTTGGGGTGTCGTGCGGTTTGGGTGCCTCTTGGGGGGCCTCTTGGGGCCTCGGGGGGTATGTTATGAGGCTCTTGGAGGTGTCTTGGGTGCGTCTTGGGCGCCTCTTGGGGCCTCTCGGCGGCGTCCTGGGGGCTTCTCTGGGCACAGCTATAGAATTTTCGGTTCGTGGTCCCCTGCCTGGGCCCCTTTGGGGGCCGTCTTGGGGCCCTCTTGGTCTTGAGCGCTTCTTTGGCTATCTTGGGGCCGTCTTGGGGCCCTCTTGGGCCGTCTTGGGGCCCTCTTGGAGGCCTCTTGGGCTGTCTTGGGGCGGTTTGGGGAGCTTCTTGACCCGTCTTGGAGCGTCGGAAGGCCGAAAATGCGAGAAGGCCAACATCTTTCAAACGCCTTCGTAAAATGGTCTCTTGGGGCTCTCTTGGGAGGTCTCTTGGAGCGCTCTTGGGGCCGCTTGGGGCCCTCTTGGGCCGTCTTGGAACCATCTTCGGGCGCCTTGGAGCAGTCTTTCTTGGCCTCGGCAATGCGAACATGGCGTCATTTGCCAGGGTTTATGGCCCTTGGGACGCACATTTTGCGTAATTTGCGACGGGTTATGGCCTCGGGGGCGCAACAATTGTTTGATCTACGAGATATCGTGGCTTTGGGGTCGCGAGCATTGTGTACTTTACCAGGGACTGTGGCCTCGGGGGCGCGAATCTCATATATCTTAACGTGTTCCGCGCACCCCCGGGAATCCAGAGCACGCGATCCCGGCGTGGTAACTGGGCGGTTTGGGGCTCCCCCCTTCGCGCGGACTTCAACAGCTTACAACAGGAAGCAGCAATTGAACCTATCACAACGGAAAATGGAACCTGCAGCCGCAGCAGGGAGCCCCAAGCCTAAGCCTCGCAGCCTGATGGGGGGCTGGCGGATTCCGCGGACCGGTCGCGGTCGCGCAGCCTCAGAAGTGGGAGGAGTTCAAGCCGAAGGAGCTCGCCGTGAAGCAAGCGCAAGCGGGTCCTGAAGGAAATGGGTCCTGAGGTTTTTGATTTCTTTCGGGCTTTCGGAGTCCTCCCCGGGCCCCAGGACTGTCAAGAATGCCTCGTGAAGAATAACTTGTCCTGGGGGAATGCTCCAGGGTCCAGGACTAGTTTCATGCCAAGGAGCTCGTGGAGAAGATCTGCAAGGACTTCCCCTACCTGCCAGAGGACCTCTGCGCCAGGATCCGGTGCCACCATAGGTGTTCCTGGCCCAAGGTGTCCACAGGGTCTCCAGGGAGGCCCAGATGGCTCCGGAGCACCCCACACAAGGCTCAGAGGACCACAGGTGTTTCAAAGTTGCTCGAAAAACTGGGGACATCTTGGGCCAGAACCATCTTTTAGATGCTCGTTTGGGGGACCTTTCTGGGGCCCACCTAGCGGATCTGTTCAACTCTAGTTCGACTCTAGCTCGATTCAAGTTCGACTTATGTTCGACTCAAGCCGACGGACGTTCGACGCAGCATCGACGCACGAGTGGAGTGAGTGGCTCCAGGCAGTTCCCCAGAACGAGCACCTAAGCCTCTGACAGCCTCCAACAGGATGGACGAGCTGCAGGGACTGGTGTCGAGGCGGTTCCAGCTCTTCACGCAGCTGGTCATGTGGACGGTGGAGCTCCAGAAGCTGGAGGCGCTGCTGGGCGCTGGCGGCGAAGCCGCCGAGGAGCCGAAGAACAGACAACTGCCAGGGATCGCCTCGCGGTGCGGGGACCACACCGTGTGGTGAGTCCGTGGTGATTCGGGGTGCCTTGACATCCTCTCGTGGTGAAAAATCACGACGGGAGGGTCAGAGGTCGGCGCGGCTTTCTCGGATTCGCGCGGACTGTCGATATACGTTTTTGCTTGAACGGTCTTTTTGCTGCTCCTCCACAGGAGGGCTCCTCAAAAGAGGACGCTGACTTCAACGCAGTGGTGGCCGAGATGATGTCCAGGGCTTAGTTGGTGACTGTTCTTTTATCCGTAAGGGCTTCGCCCCCATGCCGTCGGCCCCCCTCTCTTCGAATGGGACTTGCCAGAGCTGTGTTGGGATGTCTGGACGCTGACGTGAAGCAATGTCGGGACTTCGCGCGAGAGCCAATATTGATTTGAGAACGGTCCTGACAAGGACGGGGGGGGCTGGCCAGGAATCGCTGGGTGCCGGGTGCCGGGTGCCGGGTGCCGGGTGCCGGGTCGACGGGTCGCCGGGTCGCCGGGTCGCCAGGTGCCGGCTGCCGGGTGCCGGGTGCTGGGTGCCGGGTGCCGGGTGCGGGTCGCTGGATGCCGGGTGCCGGCTGCCGGGTGCCGGGTGCCAGGTCAGAGATGCGGGATGCCGGGTGCCAGGTCAGGGTTGCGGGATGCCGGGTGCCGGGTGCTGGGTACCCCGTGCCCGGTCGCCGGAAGTTGGGTGCCGGGTGCTGGGTGCTGGGTGCTGGGTACCGGGTGCCGGGTGCTGGATGATGGGTGCCGGGTGCCGGGTGCCGGTTCGCCGGGTCGCCAGGTCGCCAGGTGCCGGGTGCCTGGTGCCGGGTGTTGGGTGACACCAGGTGCCGGGTGCCAGATGCATGGTGCCGGGTGCCGGGTGCCGGGTCGCCGGGTCGCGGGATCGCGGGGTCGCTGGGTCACCGGGTGTCGGGCAACAGCCCAACAGCGCAGCTTCGCAGCAGGACGGATGTGTTTTTCAAGACCCGTTCATGTTCAGACAGGGCGCTGAGCTGGAGTAGGTTGCGAACACCCGCTCTAGCAGCCAGCCTGGTCGTCTGCAGGCGAGAGTTTGCCCATGCAGGGGGAGGAGGAGGAGGAGGAAGAGGAGGAGGAGGAGGAGGAGGAGGAGGAGGAGGATGTGGAAGAGGAGTGTGCACGCGTACTCTCGGATGTCCTCCAGAATTTGGCGCTGAACCCTCTGGGGCTCGTACCAGTAGCGCTGAACTTCTCGTGGCTCGTGCTAGGAGCGCTGAATCATCTGGGGTTCGTGCTTGCAGCCGCCCGGCGCAGAACCCTGCGGGGCTCGTGCCGCGGTCTTGTAATTACGGCGTCTGCCAGTGCTTCTTCCAAAGACTGTCGGCTCTGGGATCGGGGGCCGTCTGAAAATCGCGGCGCTGAACCTTGGCTGAGCGCTTGGAGGGTTGGGCTTGTCGTAGCGGTGGAGAGTTGGAGGACTGTGATTTGGAGGGCTGGGGGGTTGGAGGGTTCGGCCACGAGCTTCGGAAAAGGACGGGGGGGGGGCGCAGTCGAGGAACCGCATAAACCGGCATCAGTTGTTTTTACATTTGACGTCAAGTTTTGGGCCTCGGACGGCCCCTGCCAAGAACTACAGCGCAGGATGCATAACTGTCCCAGCACTTTCCTGGCAACCTAAACGGTCATGGCAGAGCGCGTGCAGCAATCTACTGGTCGTGGCAACCTCAACGGTCGTGGCAACCTAGCCTGTCGTGACAACCTGAACGGTCGTGGCAACCTAAACGGTCATGGCACTTGCGTGGCAGCCTAAGTTGTTTTGGCACTTGCGTGGCAGCCTAAGCGAAAGAGTTTTCCAGCACTTGCGTGGCGGCCTCAGCGCGGTCGTGGCAACCTAAGCTGTCATACGGCCTCATGGTGGAATTATATCATTCTTGTGACCTTATATAACCCCCCATGGCCTCCTGATCACTGTTTGGGGTTCGCACGCGGACATCGCCAGCCGGCGGGGTTCTGAAAGCGTTGGTGGTTCGGGCGCGTGTGTTTGTCGAAATGGGAGTTTCGGACCTGTCGAATCTTCGGATGACGAGAGCGGTGACATGTGTCGTGATATTGTGGTGATATAGTGGTGCTATTTTTCAACGGAGGATCGGCCCTTCGGACTGTGCTTGTGTATTTCGGCACAGACAACAAATATCACTCCGATGTCCCGTGCCCAGTTGTTTTTCTGTTCTGCGTATGGTTCCTTGAGGTCTGCGTCAGGTTCCGGCAGTTTTTTTCACCAACCCCTCCTGGGCACATCCCGACTTGGTGACGTGGGGAAGAAAAGAGCGATGTTGGGAGGGAGATGGGTTGGAGGCGGGGGCGGACGGGGGCGCGGGAGTTGTGGAGGGTGGGCAAGGGATGGAGAAGGGAGGCAAGGAGGCGGTCGAGAGATACGAAGGATGTGTAAGCAGGATGGGGGGATTGAGTTCGGAAGGTCAGTATTTCAGTGCAGACAAAGGACAAAGGTTTCGACTTTTAACCAACTCTGTCAGCACCGCAGGTTCATCAACCCACATTCGCACTAAATCCAGCCCCTTCCCTTCTTCGGCAAACACCTTCTGAAGCTGACGTCGGCCACGTGCACATGCTCAGAGGTTCCCTTGCGTTTCTTCTGGGCCCCAGCCCATAGCCATCTCACCGTGCTGTGGCGAACGGTTTGTTCTTGTTAGCTGTCTGTCAGCTCAGCCTCATAGCCTCATATGGAGTCCTCGTAATTCCAGGTTCCGAGATGCCTTGTGCTCAGGCAGTTTGGCCGCTTTCGCCTCAGACATCCTCGCAACTCTGACCTCGGAGAAGCCCTCCCCCACGGTGGTCCCGTTACTTTCGCCTGAGACATCCTCCCAACTCTAATTTCCCAAATGTTCCATCAGCTGAGTTGGTCAGGTCACTTTCGCGTGAGAGGTCCTGGCAACCCTGACCTCGCAGATGCCCTGCCCCATGGTGGTCTGGCCACTTTCGCTTGAGACATCCTCGCGTCTCGGGGTTCCGAAATGCCTTCAGCTGCAGTGGTGAGGCCACTTTCGCCTGAGACACCCTCGCAACTCTGAGTTCCGAGATGCCTTGACTTAAGGCGCCCACAGTCCCTGCAGGCTTCGATTTGTACATCGCAGGGGGGGGCACGTGTAGCATCATGTTTCTTTGAGCTCAGCGGCGCGCCACTTCAGGAGGGGTTGAAAAATGGCGCCTCGGTTCCCAAGTCCTTATGGGGTGGTCAAATTGAGTCCCCGCCCGCCTGTCGAGCACTTATGCCTGCGATCTGAAATTGTGTCTCGCATCTTTTCATGCGTCGACTCGACCGCCCGCGGGCCTGAAAAACGTCGCTCTTCAAAACGAGCAACCACCGCCCTCAGCGTGTTTGAGAACCCCAAAGGTCCAGGGACATGCAGCGCGTCGACGGGATCCGCGACAACCTGCGGCACCTGCAGCGCGAGGTCCGTCCCGCCTTCGTGGGGCCACACCCGGGGGCCAATCTAGGCAATCGGTCGGACCCCAGCCAGGCAAGATGTCGCCATCGACGTCGACGTTTTGTCGGGGGCCCCCAGACTCCCCATACGGTACGGTGACCACATCGTGCGGTGAGCCAGTGGGGATTCGGGGTGACCGCCCGGTTTTGGGACTCGAATCGTTCTCGGGGATGTCTCAGGTCGCTGAGGCCTCCTGGATCCCGATGACCGTGCTGTGGCAGACCGTGCGGTGAGGCCTTTGGGGGTTCCGAAGTCACCGCGCAATCTGTCACCGCATCGTTTTGGGACCCCCCAGTCGACGGTTTGGAGGAATGTGGGCGACGGAAGAACAGGTTTCGCTTGCGCGGACATTCGCGCGTAAGTTTCCCGCGTGAGGTAAAGCGTGAACGCTCTCTTCTCCACGCGGTGTGCCTTGCTGGCGGCTCGCGTAAGGCCGGCTTCTTCTCGTCGCTCGTTTGGTCGTTTTTGGATGTTCTCGTCGCCACGGCTGGACTCGGCTGGACTCAGCTGGACAAATAACACCAAACATGCTGTCCAGGATGATTATCGTTTTCTGAATAATTGTTTTGCCGATCGGCGCGGGTCCTCCCCCCTTCCCCCCAATGGAGTAGCTCTTGGCTGTATCTGGCGCCTGTTTCAAGCAGGACGCACTGGTGCAAGCAGTCGCATTGAGCAGAGGCCCGAGCCAGAGCCCCCCTCCCCCCCGTTCGCCCAATGCCGACATGTCGAATAAGAACACGTCCGCATGGACAATGGCCCAGGAAGCGTGCTTTGCGCCTTTTTGTCAGTCGGGGCAGGGTGAGGGCCCCCGCCGCCACCTGAGAAGAGGTGCGCGGACCCTCCTGAGGAGGAGCCTGCATCCGGACCGAGGTGTAAGATCGAGGTCGGTTCGGGGAGGGTACCCTGATGTTCTTTGTGCTTGATGCACGTTCTTGTGAATCCTGGGGGAAAGTACCCTCGAGTGTTCTGCGGTTTGGCCGGCGGAGGGTCTCATGCTCTTAAGTCATATGATGTCCTAGGTCCGATTACTTTAAGGGTAGCTCTTTGGGAGATGTTACAGTATCGGGAGCATAGTTCGCGCGCCGCTGCCTTGGGCTCAAGGCACGCGCGCCCTATTTGCCCGGACACCGCGAGTGTTCGCTATGTGCTGGAAAGATCATTACATCGATCTCATCCTATCTTATCCGCCCATTCCTCATACTGTACCTTCACAGCAGAGCGATGGACGCTATTTGCCATCCGATGTCCACGGTCAGCGCCTTGGAATCGGATGCTATTTGAGTTACCAGGCTCACTTTCGACTTGGTAGCGGAGCTGGCCGCACTCTCGTGTGGTCAGCTCTTGCTCTTCTTAGCCTCACATTCTTCGGCACGATCTTCGTGACCACCTACTACCCTGCGCCACCACTCCCAGTACATTTACGAGGATATATTCAAGAGCAAGAAGCGACACAAGAGGTACGACGTCTAGACGACCAGATTGGTACCATATACGCTTCATCATTGCGTTACTATCAACCGCTCGGCAACGAGCCAATAACGCAATACCTGAAGCAAGGGCGGGGAAACCCGCCAGACAGAGCGCCTCGAAGACTCGACAAGGCGCTACCCCAGCGCGACACCGCTCATCATAACCGTCCTTCGTTACACATTCTCGGGCTAATCGTTTTCGCTATCATATGGTTCGCGCTGGGGGCAGCAATCGCACACATGCGTCGGGGAGATAACAGCACCGAT